TTTGTTGTTTATTATTAGCAATGTTTTTCCGACGTCTGATTTCTTTTTAAAAAATGCGTTCCTAAAGTGCATAAACTTTTGGGATTCACTGTATAGCCAGTACATCCTTAATACTCGTGTTGAACACGTATATTGGGACAGGCATATCAGATAATCTTTTTTCCAGGTATTGACATTGAGTGGCGTAGGAAGAGTGTTCAACACGAAACGTCAACTATTACAAATGTTGGGAGATTTTCCTAGAGCTTGGTCTCTTCTACTAGAATTCATAGAGAATTCTGCACTAAGTAAAAATAACGAGGTATGCGATGAAAAGGCCATCTGTGACGTTTAACAAATTTGCTGAAATACGTTGAAATTCGACAGGTATCATTGGCAGCTCTGAAATCCTTTCAAGAGATTTTGTACCTTCAAAAAGGTAGCGATAATAACGAAGTGATCCAATCGAAAGATTCTGAAGCATTGTGGATCGTTGCTTGGCGTGTGTGGCTTAACATCGGAATGGAAAGTACGACGCCTCCTCAGGAAGGCGAAACGGAACCTTATGTACCGTCGCAAGCGTTTTTAACAGCACTGGTTCACATATTCCCAGCGGTTTTTCAACACATCAGAAACAAATTCACCGGGCCAGATTTGCAAAAGCTCTGTCAAGTACTAAAGAACGCAGTCGCAGTTCCGGTGCACGGTGAATTGACACCGCACATATTTTTTACCACGGTGCCGCACGTGGACCTTACTCATTTACAAGACGGCGTGCTTCATTCGATAGAACTCTTGCAGAAGGAAGCGTTAAACGGACCTGAGAATTTACGAACGATGATCGTTTTAATATTCCTTCAACTTTTGAGCTTCTCTAAATTGGCTTGTGAAGCTCCCACTTATGGGAAGATTCCAACGAAACACATTTCTCAAATCAGAGGACTGTCCAACGATTGGGTGATGATGAACTACGTTCCTTTCGGAGAGAAAGCTTTATCGATGGTCGTAACTTTGTATCAAAAGACGGCGCACGAAATGGCAGTCATAGAGGGACAAGTTTTAAAGCATATTATAGAAGCGTTGCATGTGCCTTTGTCGATGAAGTATGCCTGCCCGTCACCGACTACTTGGAAATTGGCTGTTACTAGTTTACTCGCTGTCTTACACACAGGTTTACCCTTGGCCAGAAAGTATCCGGAACAGTTTCAAACAATGTGGCCAGAACTGGCAAACACTCTAGACGATTTCCTATTTCCGAAAAGGTGACTAAAGAACACTGTGTTTTCTCTTATTTCACATTCCATTCAATGTTCCATTAAATCTCATAGTTTTATGTGCTTCCAATGTTACAGTGTGGTAAACGTAGAACGTGGAGTCGAGGAAATTCAAGCGGACGAAGCTGTGGACTGCCAAGTGATGGAACTCTTACGAGACGAAGTTTTACCGCATTCCCAACATATACCTCATCAATTCATTTTGCGCGTGGTTATGCTCTTGAACAAGGGCTCTATACATTCGGCAACCACGACAAATATTGGTAAATATGCTTATCTCTTACGTTCCTTCAAGCATCGAATCCAGATATAATTTTTTTATATTACCGTAGAGAATAATGGTGAAACTAAATTGAGAGAAGAATTTGCCAAGACGTGTTTTGAAACGTTACTCCAGTTCTCCTTGTTGGATGGTTTGAACAACGAACCGGAACACGACGCGAACAAGAACGCTGAGAACGACGAAGGAGGTGTCGCGGGGCGGTTAGCAGTGACTGCGCTCCTTCACAGGTTCCAAGAAGTTCTGCGACGATACATTGAAAACGAAAGGCGAAGCGGGAAATGTCCGCTACCTAGGTAATAGTTGTGTTTAAACTTTTTCCGATACTCGATACTAATCATAAACGTAACAATGGATATTTCGGAAATATCGTGTAACGCGGATTATTTTTTAAGTACTTATTATAGAAACCTTTTCTAGGTACAGATTGTCCGAGATTTCGTTTGTTTTAAAAGCCGTTGCGACGCTTGTGGTATCTTTGAAGAAAGCTCCACCGAACAAAGGTATTTATACGTCAGAAGAAAAACAACTTCTCATTATTTTTTATATATAAAATGGAATTTAAATGTTTTCCAGTCGAAAGGTCGGTCTGGGAACAACTGATCGGACTGTATCCCTGTTTAGTAGAATGTACTGTAGCTACAGCATCGGGGCAAGTGTCAAGATCGTTGCGCGAGGCTCTGCTTCAGTACCACGATTTATTGAGACCACCGCTTCATAGTTCCACGACGTCAAACGGTGTTTGACCATTGCATTCTTACGTTCTAAACCGAAATAGCGGTGTTTGCTACGCGAACAAGTAGTTCAACTTTTTATAACTGTGGTTACGTGTACGATAAGTTAAATTTTCCGTATGTACACGTGGAAGGTAAACAAATTGAAGATGAAGTTGAAGAATACGTATTCTTAATTGAATGATTTCCGAGTCGTTACCGTGCAGCAGAAGGTAAATGTTCTATCTTTATCTTTATGGTATACAGATTTCAATTCTGTAAATTGCAATAGACTTTTTGAAACGATATATTTAATTAACAAACGTATCATTGTACAATGAATGCATAACTTAGTTATTTATTTAAAACGGTTTTTAAACTTTTTTTTCTTTCCACAAAGATGACCACAAAATTCTCCTTTTTCTGTACTTATTCGATTTTACAGTAACAAGAAAACTGCTATACGTATAGCATGATGATCATAAATAAGTAGATAATACCATTTTGATGCATAGAACAGTTGCATACAATTTTTTGTTGGACCAGCATTGTCACTTATAACGAACAAAGATAAAAAAAAAACGATATAATGTGGTCTCTCATTATTTAATAAAGTAGTACATAAAAAGAGTAGCCTTATATGTAGGAAGTCGGAGCAAGTATGCAAAAAAGATTTGTGTTAAATATGTATTTATTTGATAAGCGCAAATTTAATTATAACTACAAATTATACATATATACACGCCATACTGCTGTACATAGATCGATGTACAACTTGGCTTTTATATTAACTGTAAATACTGAATGGATTGCGAGTAGAATCATATACAGTACAGTTTTATATAAATAATATCAAATTATTATCCGCGCGCTATTCTTACAAACGATATAACAATGAAAAACTATGATATAATAATAATGTAAATAGTCACAGAAAAATTCAATAAAAGTCTGAAATATTTATGCTATTTTTGTATAGAAGCCTTGGTAGCTTATTAGGTTTGGCATTTTTTGATACCACGAATTGATATTTCGTTTTTCGTAATGTCTTACAGATCGTAAATACGAGTAGAGGCATCGAAGCTTATTTTTGATGAATATTTATTATCGTTTGATTACTGTGCATAATAGGTTCGAGGTAGAAAATGATGTGTGTACTTAGCGTACAGTGCTTGGTTCGATTTCTTTCAATAAACCAACGCCATTCTGTTCGCGTAAAAAAAAAATAATTATCTTTAAAGGATAGATGTCGCATCTGTAACCGGAAAACTTCTAGAATTAATCAAATTCCAACGAGTCTGTTATAGAACGTGTCGTTATCGCGGTGCGTCGTGCTTTGAAATAAATAAATTCGAGAATTTCTGGTTCACGTTCGAGCGGGAGGACGATACCGTCGAGAAAGACGTCACCAAGTCCGAAGTTTGATCCGTGCTGTATTTTCGAGTGACGCCGTAGCCATGATTGTTTAGTTTCGGGGGGATGAAAAGTGAACGCGAGCGAGGGATTTGAATGAAACTTGTGTGATACCCACTGTGCCCGTTTAATTCGGCATTTAACGAACGCGTCTGTTAATTGAGAGATATGGTAAGAGGTATTGCGAATTGAAGCATCGCCCGTACGTTTATCCGCGACCCGTAGTTTTCGCGGGAATTTTCAGGCGTTACAATTGCTGGGTGCCGCCGCTGTCGCGGCGCAGCATTGCACTTTCAAACTTTCGATCGATTTCTGTCCGATATTCGGTATCATCGTGCGAAACGAGCATCATCCGCGACTTGTCCAACAACGCGGTTTTTGTTTGTCCCGTCACCGGCCGCCGAGTCCCCCGCGTGCATCGCGTTCTGTTTCTGTGGAAATGTTAGAAAATATAACCCACTGCATATAAATCGATATATACTTCCGATGTGTAGATGTGCTCATACACGCGCTCGTTCATGTGAGTGTAGCCCGAGTTCGAGTGTGGGTAGAACGTTTCTATATAGAAGTATGTACACACGTATATATACAGCCTTCACGACGAACCGTCGTTCAGGAACGCCCCTTTTTACAATACGACCAAATTTCTTTCCCGCGCAATTTCCAAGACGTAATGAAACGTCAATAATTGACAGCGTTTCGGTCACTCATATTCCACGTTCGTTGGAAAATTAATTTCGTTCCCCTTCGCTGTACGTATGCACGTTCTCGACGAAGCTTCCTAAACGAAATTCCATCTGTACTGTCATGCGGTATTCTCGTCAGCGGTATTTAATACCTGACGAAAACGAGTTGAAATATGAATTAGCTTTTGTTTAAGGATCTACAAGTTTCTATTCTTATATGCTACGTTCAGTTTTTCATAAATTTAAGTCATTGATTCATAACAGAAGATCAAAGCGTTTTCAATTGTTTTTTCAAAGTGTCTGCCAAAGTGTTATCGAGTCAATTATAATTAGTAACGTATTATCGAAGCCTGTCATCTCTGTGGAAGAGAAATCACATACGCGATTATTATAATATTAATATATAAATCTTTCAGCATGTTCCATCGGTATACTTTCTTACGTTTCAATATTCCTATTTTATTGTTTCAGGCCATTTAGACTTTTTGAGATGTGGTTACGAAGCGAACATGTTAGTCGAAGACTACGACGTCGTTTAAACATAAGCTGTATATCCAGATCGAAAATATCGAATCATCGGGTACAAGTCGGGAGCATACGAAAACTTCCATCCATTACTAATAACAGTCACCGTATTAACGCTCCGAACAAATGTGGCAAACTGACGCGATGGAAACGTAGATGTACTCGTTTCTTGAAGGAGGTACACACCAATCTTTATTCCAGCTTTCACCTTAATTTCTTATTACACGTGTGTTACATTTTCCTCACGTTGTCATCCAAGACACTGACAACCAATTATGCTATCTGAAATTATATATGATTTCTACTAGCTTACCGTAAATGATCTTTGCAGGTCATTTATTAAAAAAAAACAATCTTCACTATTACTTAAAAAAACGAAATACTTTCTAACTAATCAGCGGTTAATGAGTGACTGACTAACTCTCAAGGATGTTATGCACTTAGATTTCTTAGAACTACAAATCTCGAAGCCATTTGGTTAATAAAACGGCTCCAATTTGGTTTTGTTAAAAAGAATTATTATCTTCGTAGGCTTGTAAAGAAAATGTTTTACGTTTCGCGAAGTCTACGCCTAGTAGACGAGAGAGAGGACCTCGTAGAAGGAAATGCATAAAACGATCGATGGTTACTTCAACTCCTTTACCCCGAACTTCTACGAAAGATGCAGTCATTGTAAGTTATTATAATCCGTTTGATATTCGAATAACCGAACATAATGTTGCGCACAATAATATTTTAGTCGGCAAAGTGTACAACAGTGTCGAAAGTTTCCGAGGAATCTAAAGAGAACTGGAATACAAGCACTTTATCTTTATATTCATCCATATTAAGTAACGATTCATGTTCCTCCACGTCCAGTGTAAGCGACTTCAAATCTTCGATTCCGACCGTGTCACCTCTAGCAGATCTAATGCCTCCAGTATCCGTAGGATTGAATCCAGACCTTTCATACGTATTGGATCATGAAGAAAACAAAACTCTCGGTACATACATACGTTTAAGAGTCTTTAATTTATTTCATCGGGTTATCGGCATACGACGAGTGAATTTCATTTGTTGCAGATACCACTTCGCTATATTATACCACTCCCTATATGCAAACAGAAACGTCTGAGGAATGTTATAGTTTAATGCACGCTACATCGATGTACGGGACTCGTTCTTATTCGTCAGACAAGTATTTTCCGAACGGAAAATACGCGCTGAGCAATAATAATGCGAACAACAGCGGGTTGTCGAAGACTCATTGTGCCGTTGACAGTCATTCGTCTAAATATGAGACGGTGTACGCCAGTACGAGATACAGCGCGTCTGCCATGTATCTGAGCCACCATCATCCATCGGACACGAACGGGAATCTCACTGAAAAATACGACTCCGATGATATCGAGAGCGATTACCATGACGTCGAATACATGGAAGTCGGGAGCGAAGAAATAGTCGAAAGTTGTGATATGGAGAACATGGTCACTCATGTCCAGGAGGATTGGGAACCGTTCGATCCTTACGTCTTCATTAAACACTTACCACCCTTGACTCCGGCGATGAGAGCCAGATGTCCCGCTCTTCCTCTCAAAACACGCAGCAGCCCCGAGTTCAGTCTCGTATTAGATTTGGTACGTGCGTCTCAAATCCACCTGGTTAGGAAAATCACGCATGAAAACATGAATCGCTCTAACGATGTTCTGATTTGTCAACAGGACGAAACGTTAGTTCACTGTAGTCTGCAAGAACTCTCGGACGCAGCATTTCGTTTTCCGGTCGTCTTTCAAGATGTAACGTACACCGTGTTCGTCAGAACGCGACCCTATTTCCGCGAATTCTTAGAACACGTCTCGTCGCTGTACGAGGTGATCCTTTTCACCGCGAGTAAACGAGTCTACGCGAACAAATTAATGAATCTGTTAGATCCGACGCGGAAATTGATCAAGTATCGGCTGTTCAGGGAACACTGTGTCTGCGTGAATGGAAATTATATTAAAGATCTGTCTATACTGGGTAGAGATTTATCTAAAACTGTTATTATTGATAATAGTCCACAAGCATTCGGATATCAAGTAAGTAAATGTTTTATAATATTAAAAAATTGAGTCTATCTCATATTTTCTTTTATTTTCACGCATACTTTTCTGCTTGCAGCTAGAGAATGGTATCCCTATAGAAAGTTGGTTTGCTGACCGTTCGGATAATGAACTAATGAAATTGTTACCTTTCTTAGAAAATTTAGTAAATTGGGTAAGCAGCTCTCCACTTGATCGTATAAACAGATAGTGATTTATAAATTAATGTTATTCATCAATATGTTCAGGGTGGGGACGTCAGGCCGCGCATTAGAGAACAGTTCCGGCTCTTCAGTTTTTTACCACCGGATTAATCTAGATAATAAGCACAAAAGTAACGTTCGAAGAAGTGCTAGCCTATATAGGTATGTACGTACGTCTATACGAGTTTTACAGATATTCATTAGATAAATGTAAGATACTAACATAAAGCGTGCAATATTACACGTCAAAAAATGAGTTTACAAATATATGATTTGCAATAATTTTTGTTCGTCAACTTAATAAGTATACGTCCGATAGGTAAATTATTGAATTGATTAGAAAACAGATTCGTACAAAATTTCGGATGAACCTTAGTTTATTCATGTGACGAATTTCGTACCTGTATATTGAATTTAAATTGATCTCGTTAAAAAATATCAAAAATGCATTAACAAAAATGAATCTCTTAAGATGAAATTGTTAAGGAATACCACTACAAAGTAGTTGTTAGAATCTATATTTATCAGATTTTGGGCAGGTACCAACCACGATTAGAATGATAAGTAATGAAACCTTATGAATCGCATAGAGACCAATGAAGATTTGATACTAATTACCGGTAGGGCTCATGTGTTATTCGAACACGGTAAAAATATTTTAATTGAAATAGTTTAAAAACAGGAACTCCTGTTCGTTGCTGAATTGCTTGAACAACTATTTGTACAAGTTGATCGGCATCTCTCAATTTATATATGCTTCATGT